TATAATTAGATACAGCGTCCGGTGATCGAATCAAAATTAGTATTTCTACTTTTTAATGTACTACCCCTTCTGTGTGGGAGCACTCAACTTCTCCTTGAGTTATTCTGAAATACATACCAAATTGTTATAGACTAGTTATTTGGGTATGATCAGACCAGTAGAACCGGGCTGGAGCTGTAGTGCAGTGGTAGAGTGCTTATCTCTTATTTGCGAGGCCGTAGGTTCAATCCCCAGTACTACCAGAGGAACATTGGAATAGGTTTTCCCTGTTTTGATATCCATTATCAAGTCTTTCTCTATTTGCACATCACCTTCCCAGACTCCAGGGATCTCTGAACCCCTCATCTCTCCTGCTTCTCTCTGTTGTGTGCCCCTTCTGGGCACACCTTCCTTTTTCACACACCAGGTGCTGACGTAGCAGGGGTGGGTAGGCAGGGGACAGCCATCCTTCTCCCTTTTCTACGGAGGGTTCACAGCTGCCCAGAGATGTTCCTCTAATAATGTGCTGTCTGGGCACTGGAAGCCAGTGCCCCAGGTAGCTCTGAAAGCCCGGCCTCTCATAGAGAAGGTAGCAGTTTGTCTGGGGGACTTTCCAAGTATGAAAAATCAAAAACCTTATCACATCCTTAGAGCTTCACACTTGTGTCAGAGTTAGGAATTTCCCCAGGAGGACTTGACAGGCCCTGAGCTCTCTTACCAGCACCGGACTCTGGCCTGACCTTTCCAGTCAATACAGGCCCAACAAGGAGGCCAGGGACAGCCGGAGGAGGCAATACAACAGGTTCCCTCCTCCCTACTGAACCAGCCTAGAGGACTGGGGCGAAAGTGCTGGCTGTCCACTGCACAGCCCAGGCCAGGGACTACAGATCACAGGGCCCCCCACTGTCAGGAGAGGCCACTCCCACCTGTGAGGCCCAGCTACCTCCTCCCAGAGACAACCTCTCCAGGAAGCGCCCACTACTACCTGAGTCGGCAACTCCCCTGGAAACCAGTTCACAATGTGGAACAGGCTTCTGGGAACCTTTGAGTTTTTCCTTCTCCAGGTTCCCACAAACTCAAGTTTCCATTGAGCAAGACACCTTACCCGTACCACCTGCCTCCTTTCACCCTCGACAGTCTGGGATTCACAGGGGTCAAACTAAGGTTAAAGCATGCTGCATTGTCCCCGTTCTACACAGACTCCAACACAATACTGATTATAACAATGTCTGACATTATACATATCTGATTATAACAATGGCTGACCTTTGGGTGAAGCTAGACAAACAGCCAGGCAGAATACAAAGACTGTTTGCAAGCCTCAAGAATTAGGTCTCTGTTGCCCAACCATGCGGAAATGGAACGCGTTCTGTCCCTTCACACGTGCTGAGATAGTTCCTGGGCCTCACACCACTTCTTCCCAGCATCCATCAGAGACAAATGGAGGCTCTAAGACTGACATCTAAGCATCCACAGGAGCCCCAGAATTAGGGACTAGACACATACCCTCCACCTTGGTATTCCCTGTCTATCTGTGCTGACCATTAAACACCAAAGCCCAATCTCTACACCCTTGAAAGAGAGAGACAGAAAGAGACACACACAAAGAGAGAGAGAATGTGATTTTTCCGGGGCTGCTTCACATACTTGGGTCACATATTTGTCCTTCTGTAGCTGGCTAATGTCACTCAGCATAATGCCGCCAAGGTTCATCCATGTAGTGACAAGTGTCCAGTCTCCTCCTTGCTAAGGCTGGATAGCATCCAGAGTGTGGATAGACCGTGTTCATTTGCAGTTGGAGTGTGCAGCTATGAACACAGGGTCCAGGTCTCTGCTGGAGTTCTTGCCTCCAGCTGTTGTGGGTGAAACTCCTGGTCATATGGTAACCACTGAACTTACTCAGGACACTCCAGGGGTTTTCTGCAGCCTTCACTGTCATGGTGTGAGCTTCGCTCTTCTCAGGAAAGTGATTGCTGTGATCTTTTCCCAGGAAGCAGGGACACATTCACTTGAGAGCTTTCTGTCCCAGATTCTCCCATCAGACTGTCCTCTCAGGCTTTGTTCTTTCATTCCCCCCCCCCCCAGCATCTCTATCTCCTCTCCTCACTTCACAGTGAGCTCCGGAGTCAGGAAATCTCTCCTTTCTTTCAGAACCCTGTAATTACCCTGTATTTAGTTAGCTAATCCTACCCTTGGGGGGTTCAGCATCTACCCAGAGAAACAGATTCTCCTGAGAGTCTTCTCTGCAGCAGAGGAGTCTCAACAGCAGCACTGGCTCTCTCAGAAAGGCTGGCTCCACCACCTCAGGTCCCTGGAGGCCCTCTCCCTACAACCCACCTAGGCCTTGTTCCTAACTCTGACCAGTGGCATCTCTACCCTTTCAGCAGGCGCTGTGCCCAGACTATGGGATTACTGGAAGAACAGACCACACCCCCGAATCCAGCCTGTGCCTGTCTCCCCAGAGGGAGGGCAAGCCACTCTGAGGGAGGGATGGAAAATAAGTACATTCTACACCGAGCTTTAAAGGACAGTATTTGACCTGTGCTGAGTTGAGGGTCCTAGGCTGGGGTCTAGGACCAGTGTCCTAGCTTAGATGCTCCTGTGGGGCCTGGCCTGGCCTGGGGGGAGGCACTTGGCCACGAGTGGCCACTGCCCTGCACTTAGCAAGTGCTGCTTCTTTTGTAAGGCTTCTTGTCTGGCCTGGAGACCTCATCAGCTCCTTCTTGGAAAAGTGGAGGCATTAGTTCAGGGAGCATTAGTGACTGGTTCAGCTAACAGAAGTCTGTTGCCTCCGGGCCCTGAGAGAGCCACTACTTGTCTCACATAGGATCTGACTGCCACCATTCCCAGGAGGGCTAGGCCTGAGTGAGTTCCCTCATCTGTAAGGGTGGGGATGGGGTGCGGGTAAGGGCCAGTCAGGGATACAGTCCAGGTCAAGTGCAGGGAGTCAGGGGTTGTCATTCATGCAACCTGTGACTTTTAGGCATTGCTAAAGGAGTTTAGTTTAGAGCGCCTCTCAGCCATGTGAACGTGGAGAGCATGATGGGAAATGAAATAGGCCAGTTGCATGAGCACAAACACAGTAGGACCCTGCTCATGGGGAGTGGGGCCATCTCTGGAGTCATCTAGTTCCTAGAGACAGGGAGTGGAATGAGGTTGCCAGGGGCTGGAGGGAGGGAGTGGGGATTTTTTTCTTAATGAGCACCTATTTTAGTTGAGAAATATGGAAATTTTCTGGAGTTGGGTGGTGGCGATGGTTGCATGGCCATGCATATCTTTAACACCGCTGGACTGTGCTTCAAAATGGCCACGATGATACATTTTATGTTATGTAGATTTTACTTTTTTTTTTTTAATTTTGGAGTCTTAGCCCTTCACATTTAAGAAAAAAAAATTATTTATTTATGTAGTGTGTGTGTATATGTGTGTGAGAAAGACAGACAGAGAGAACACTGAATGCTAACTAATTTTCTTCACTGCAATTGCTCTGTATTCCAAACCCAAAGGGAAAGTGAGAGCATTTGCATTCATTTGCATAACCACGGGTGTGGGGTGGTGTCCCTTCTGAATCTCCTTTGGCTCCTTTGGCTCTGTGCACCTGGCAGGTCACAGAGCTGAGTCTCAGGACACAAAAGTACCATAACAATAGCCATGTGCAGGTGTGGGCAGAGGAGATGGCAGGATGGAAGAATTGGTCTCAGGTCAAGTCAGGAACAGCTGGTGACAAAGCTCTGTTAATAGGAAGCTGCTACCCACAAAGCCTAGTGTGATCACAGCTGCATTCCTTCTCTGCCAAGTCACAACTGGGGGGACACCATGAAGCCCTCTGAGCTCCAGCATCCTGACTTGTAAAATACAGACCTTCACGGTGAGGAGATCGTGAGGTGCCCCAGGGTTTGGTGTGTAGATGGATTTTGAAAAGTGCTGCTGAGAGTTGCTCTTGGCATGTCCCTTTCTTAATAGGAAACAGAGGTGCTGAAAGCATCATGAACCCTCTACAGGGTCCCAAGCATTGATCAGCTTTCTACCTAAAAGCCCAAACTGAGTTGTCAGTCCTGTGGATACCCACAGTCTGAGCTCCATCCCAGATTTACCACCAAGGGCCTTTTAACAGTTGACTTTAACCTCCCCATCTGTGAATTGTGGCATAGTAAGAATTTTACTCCACAGGTTATCAGGAGGATTAGCTGTCTGGTGGTGTTAGCTCTGTCTGGTTCATAGTAAAACAGTTTGTAAATATCAGCCCGTTTCTCGGGAGCTTTTATTTAAAAAACCCATCAGTGAGTTGTTGTAAGACATCTGATGAAAGAAAAAAAAAAGCTGGGTGCAGAGTGAGGGGGAGTCGCTACTCTTTAAGACTGTGGCCAATGGTTCAATCCCATGCCCCACAGATGGCCCAAACCCGTGTGCGTTAATCAGCACTAGCTGCGGTCAGGGTTATTAATTACACTTTAAAAATAAAAAGGAGGAGGAGGAGGACATGAATTGGAAGATACCAGGGAAAGTTGGAGGAAGGTGGTAATAGATGGATATGACCAAAATACATTGTAAAAGGTACGGACTTCCAAATGATAAATAGTGCATGTTATGGCAGGCCATATACGTGGTCAGGACTGTCACAGTAGAAAGCCCCCTTCATCCTGCCCATCGCATCCCCTCTTCCCTGCACAGAGGCTATGCTGCCAAACCTGGTGTTTGTTACTCTTTGTGGTCTCACTCCATATGAACACCAACGAGTGGGAATGAGCCGGCAATAACTTTAAGCCGGGACTGCTATAGAGAAAGATTTAGACATTGTTGCTCGCCTGGCACAAAGCTTCATTGGGTAATGTCACTTTCCCATGCCTTCGCCTGGTCCTCTCACCTCTCTGAGCCAGGAAGCGTGCCTGCTGCCAATGGACCTGCCAATGATCCACGCCATCAGCTAGGATTCCTACTGATGCGGGTCCTCAGCAGAGATCACAGAGCTTGCAGCCGCCATGCACCCTGCTGACTCAAGTCTGGCCTCTCTTCCCTTCCAGGCGGAGATGCGGCTCCAGGACCAGCAGCTGGCCAGGCAGCTCATGCGCCTCCGAGGAGACATCAACAAGCTGAAGATCGAGCAGACCTGCCGCCTGCACAGAAGGATGCTCAATGATGCTGCCTTTGAGCTGGAGGAGCGGGATGAGCTGTCCGACCTCTTTTGCGACTCTCCTCTGGCATCCTCTTTCAGCCTTTCCACACCGCTCAAGCTCATTGGCGTCACCAAAATGAACATCAACTCCAGAAGGTTCTCTCTCTGCTGAGAAGCCTTGTGATAGAAGGGGGACCAGAGCCAAGGGCGAAGCGGGGAGTGGGAAGGCTCAGGCCAAGTTAGCCAAAGTAGATCTCTCCGAGACCGTTCTGGGGAGTGAAAGGCCTCAGGACCTGGTGGGAGTATGCTAGCGGCTTCAGCTTTGCATTCCTGGGTCCTTATATTCAATACCCAAAGAGTCTGCAGACACTATGTAAGACAGGGGTCTAAGCAGGATCTCATGGCCTTCCCCTCCTGTGGCCTACTTTCCTGTGTTCTAGAATCATTGGTGCTAAGATGTTGGATCCCAAAGGGGAGCTCCTCACTACACACAAACACACAAAACTTGTGGGTTTTTTTTTTTTTAACAGAAAGCTCTCCTCAACAGAAGTTGGGAAGATTAAATTATGTAAGGAGCACCATCTCTCGTGTGCTGTTCCCACCCTCTTAGTCGTAGCTCTAATTGCCCCGAGGTAGGTGCCTCGGTAACCTAGGCAGGGGTGCGCTAGGACAAGAAAACCTAAAGGAATAACAAGGTGGCACATGGGAATGCAGGCTTCGCTTTGATGGCCACCAGCATCCCTGGGAAGGGGCTCCACCCAGCTTCTCTGAACCTGAGCCTTGCTTGCTACAAGGCCATGCTGTCTCTAGCTGGCCTTGTATACCTTTGGCAGAGCACCTTGTATACCTTTGGCAGAGCAACCTAGGTGCCCCGCTGTCTCCTGTCATGACCATTTCAGCTACTTCCCTGCCACCCACAACCCCAGGAGAGCACCTAACAGGCCACTAGTGACTAAAGCAGGCAGATGGGAGACAGATTTCCTACAAGTGAGTGCTACTGTAGGGGGCATGACAGAGGGCTCCTGGTGGGACATGATACTGTCACCTGTCTCACTTTATCCTCAGCACCAAAGACCCCAGGGATCCCAGACACCTATCCTGAGCCTCTCCCAAGGCTGTGCCTGAACTAAGCAATGAATTTTAATTGACCATGACTGTTAACTAGCAAGTTGCTAACTCCTTAATACCTGTCTGATTCTTGTTCTGATTCTTGTTCACATGGAGAACCAGTTGAGTAAGCTAGGCAGAGTCTAGGGTTTCGTCTTCAGAGTTTTTTCCTAACAGCACGCTTGAGATCAGTAAAATGTTAAGCTCATCAATTCAGGGAAAACCTTGAAGAGCACACCTGGCCACGTGTAATCCTGTTAACATAAGTTTCTTAGATACTGGGTGTGTCTAGTGAGGCCTGCTCATTAGCAGAGGGGCAGAGTGAGGCCAGGAAAGAAAATGGCTTCCTCCACTTACCTGGCTGCTCAGTGGCTGTAGAATATGAAGGTGTGACATCTTTGTGAGTCAGGCCTGGATGGAGCTCCTTGCCAATGAACTTGAACTCCAAAAAGATGGTCCTGATGCTCTGGCAAACCCACAAGTTGCCAACTTCTCTCTCCTTCCCTTTCAGACCCCCACTCATTCTTCCCACATGGCAATCCTGAGTATCGGGAGGGCAGAGCATAATGCCCAGATGGTGGACTCTTGGCACTGATCACTTGTCAGAGTCCTGTGGTCCACACTGACTGTTCTCTCTCTATATAATGTTTCTTCCTCCTGACTATCCCCATGGCCACAACACACCCAGGGAGAAGCTGGACTGGGAAGATACAACTGAATGGTCTCTTCCTTGAGAATTCAAAGAGCCAGATGGTTGTGTTTTTTTTTTTTTAAAGGTAGAACAAGCCAAGATTTCTTAAGAGCCCTGAAGTCCAGAGACCTTGATCCTAGCCCCTTCCTAACTACACAAAAGTCCAAGAGGCCTTTATTTTCCATCACCTCCTTTCTCCAGTCACCCTCTGGCCGTCACACACACACCACTTCACAGAGAACACGTGAAAGAAGGGAGGCCATCCCATATTCTAAAAATAATGTCAAATTGATTATAAGAAATGAATCAGGGGTTGGGGATTTAGCTCAGCGGACAGCGCTTGCCTAGCAAGCGCAAGGCCCTGGGTTCAGTCCTCAGCTCCGAAAAAAAAAAAAAAAATTAGTGCAGGTCTTTAGTGCCAGCACTCAGGATATCTCTTGAGGAAGGAAGATCAGGAGTTCAGGATTAGTCTATGATACATAGTAAGTTCTCCAGGTCAGCCTGGGCTACATGAGACTATGTCTCAAAAGCATCAAAAAGGGGGAAAGACATCAGTCATTACAGTAACTGACACCTTAGCTTAGAGCAAAACAGAGTGATCAAATTGGATGTGGTCAGTGGCTAAATATGTGGCTAAGCAGTTTGTGCTCAGCTAACCCAGCATCTTCCTCCTGCTTTTGTCCTTTGAGGAAACTTTGTCCCAGCTGTGGGTTTGGATAGGTTAGATGTCTCTCAGCTTAAGTTGTTCATCCCAAGAGAATCTGATTCTGGGATGAGGAGGGAGGGTGGGGAGGGGATCAAAAAGGTGGAGGGGAAAGCTGGTTTGTATTCTTACATGCAGCCTAATATCTGTTAGCTCCCTGCCTTCCACTGTAAACTCACACCATTAACTGTTCATTCTACTTGTAGAATCCCTGCAGAGATGTCTATAGGCCAGTGCCGACATTAGCCGCCTTCCACAGCCAGCTTCCTGGCTTACTGTTTGTACACAGTCCTGTTTGATGTGTCCTCATTAGCCATCTCCATGTTCCCCTCCCCCCCAGGTGAGACTCAAAATATTCACTGTGCTGCCACAAGGTCATGTCCAGTGCCTTCATGGGCTCAGTAGCAATCACAGAGGCCTAGAGGGCCTGGACAGGCCTGACTACAACCTGGCCTCATCCAAGATCTACCCCTGTAGCAATACCAAGTGCTATTACATAATCAATGGACAATTTAAAATGTTATTTTTATGATTATTTGTTTCTATATTACTGTTAGAAAAAGTGAAATAAAAATATTTCAAAAGAATATATCCAAATAGAGACATTTACTTTCTTTTTATTTGTCACGGTTATAGTATACACAAGACCCGGACCATAATTGGGTGGATGGATGGATGGATGGCTTCATTGATGGGTGATCTGAACACTTAGATGAAGATGTAGAAAAGAGGAAAATATTCTCTAGGATCTTTCTCCACTTGGAGAAAGGGCCACTTGGAGGTGGTTGCCATGGAATTCCATCCTGTAGACCATGTGAACACACCTAATATACCTATCATGCCTGAATTTGACCAAAGACAAAGCAGAGGCCATTTTTTTAAAACTCCTGTAGTGCCTGTTTCATGGTGATTCTACTAGTTGATACCATTGCTGTGCTTTGGGGGAGGTTTAGCCTCAGAATGTTAAAGCCACTCACTCTCAAACATGAAATCGGTGTAAGAGAGTTGTGGAAATGTCCTGGAGACATGGACTCTCCAGAGAATATATTCTCCAGAGAATATCTGAAGCTCTGCTCTTCTACAGACTCCCAAGGACCAAGAGTCCCAGGGTGGGCAGGGTCTTGAAATAAACCTGCCCTCAGAACCTTAGGAAGGCCATGTCAGAGGTCAAGGTGGGCCACGAATTCCATTTTGTGGAACACCTGTCAGCAATCCCAGAAGATTGAGCAGGTATGACAGAATCTCTCAAAGAGCACATAGCCTATAACCTGTGGATACGAGGTGAGCGAGCACAGGGTATCACCCAGACATCCTCTGCCTGAGTTGGGCATGTTGGTGGCCCAACAATCACCTTCACGTTGGAATCTGGTAGCTGCTCCATTCTCACAGCTGGAGAATGCAGTGCCAGCTGGTGCCAGTCAGACTCAGAAGGTTCTGAGGCTCCTCGGAGATCTGCTGGTGTGACAGCAGATCGGACATCACAGGCTGGTTGTGAGGGCCATGGGACTTCCAAGGGCCACAGAGGAGACAGAAGGTGAGGGGCAGGGAGACTGCTTGGTTGACATGGTGCTTGTGCAAGCCTGGGGACCTGAGTTTAGATCCCAGCACCCACAATAGAAGGTGGGCGAGGTGGAGACATGAGGCTCTCTGGGGTTTCCTGGTTAGTCTACTGAGTCGAGTTCCAGGCACAATGAGAGACCCTGTCTCAGTAAATAGGGTGCAAAGTGACTCAGGAAGGCACCCGCTGTTGGCCTTTAGCCTTCACACGTACAAGTATGTGCATGTGCAACACACACACACACACACACACACACACACACACACACACACGGTGGGAGGGAGCACTATGTCCTGTGTAGAGAGACTGCTCTAACTGGTAAAATCTTCACATGTATGATTCTCTGAGAAGTTGGCATTACAACTGAGTCAGGACCATGAGCAAACCACAGCAAAGGGCTAGACACAGAGAGTCAAGGACACGGACTGAAGGAAGGATGTGTTACCTGGGAGAGAGATGGGGCAGTGAGGCCATAATGCCTAGTGGGCTATAGACGCTAGGGGCAGCTCTTACCGGCCGCTTGGGTCAGGCTTTCTTTAGGTTGTAGAGGAAGTGTTTTGAGGCTTTTGAGTGATAGGTGAACTGAGGTAAACCTCATCAAAATCTAAGAAGAAGACATGGAACTGATGTGTAAAAAGTAAAGTCAAGAGGATTGGGGAATGGCTTCGTCGGAAAAGTGCCTGCTTCGAAAGCATGAAAACCTCAGTCTGAGTCCCCACAGCCTAACTAAAGATGGAAGGCATGGCGGTATGTGCCTGTAACCCCAGCACCAGGAGAGCAGAAACAGGCTCACTGGCTGGCCCACCTAGTCTAACTGGCAAGGTCTAGGTCCCAGTGAGAGAACGAGGCAGATGGCACTAAGTAACAACACCTATGTGGGAGGGACTATGCATGACCCCCCCAACATGCACATAAGAAAGTAGAAGGGATGCGGGGCCTCAGTGAAGCCCGGAAGAGCAATTGGATACTCAGGATAGAGCAGTAACTGTGGAAAGTCCCATATGGATGGTTGGGCACATACTTTGATATGCATTTTGGAGATCAAGTGAGCTGAACAGGGTAACCACTGGATGTCGTACTCGACAGGGTTCTCCAGAAAGAAGCAATTGAATGCATGTCTGTTATAAGCGGGCATTTATTACACCGGCTTACTCGACAGAAGCAGGCAGTCCAGCAATAGTGGTCCATGTGTTTGAACCCGGTAGGTGCTCCGTCTGAGAACCTTGACAGTGCCAGTCAGATGCCAAAGGCCTGGAAACTCCACGGAGAACCACTGCTGCTGAAAGCACATTCTAAGGCCAAAGGAGTCTGATGTCCGTGCAGGGTGGCCACAGCAGCAATATACAGGGCAGGAGCAAAGGGGACACGGGCGAGAAATGCTTTTCTCTAGCTATTTATTGGAAAGCACTGCTCCGTTTTAGGGTAGGGCTTAACCTCCCCTACACACACCTCATTTCTAGAAATGTCTACACAGGGCAACAGAAGAGCAGAGATGCTCGCAGGCGCTGACCAGACTAAGAGGATTATGGATGTGACATCTCAGAAGGGATGCAGCCCTTTGTCCTGAAGCCCAGCTGTGGCTTCATTATGCCAACTGCCTAAGTGTGCTCTGGGGGCTTGGTTGCCAGCCCAACCTGCAGCTTCCACATTCCAGACCCTGAATCTCACTGGCCATCTGGATGCTGGGAAATGGAAATTGATTCTCAGTGATAGAGAGGATTCCCCTCTCTGTTCACGCCCACATCAGATCCCTGCTGTGTGTCGGGGGAGGGGGTGCTGGCTTGGGGAGAGGCTGAGCTGCTGCTACCCCAAGGAAAATGATGTATTGCAACAGAAACACTGGGGCTATGCACACAGGCCTGGCCCCCGGGCCCTATCTGATGGGAGCTGCTCAGGAAGAAGGCTACAGGTGTGGCTATTATTTAAACACCCTGTTCCTAGGCGCAAAGCAAATGGCTACAGATCCTGGCCTACAAGGAAATTCTGGAGGAAGGGAAGCCTCAGAAGAGCATAAGGGCACTGGAAGGGGTCACCCCATTTGCTACAGAGAGGTGAGTCCTGCCCCAAGTGGGTTCTACCGTCAATGAAGGCAGCGAGACTCATTCCAGAGCTCCGCTCCTCCATCTGTTCCTAAGCCATCTATCTGATGGACAGAAGGTCCCACACCACTTGCCTCTCACCCACTTCAGAGACGAAGAGGCAGTCGGGTAGGGACACCTGCCAAGAAGGGTAATGAATCCCCAGAGAAAATGAGCAGAAATGCCAAGCCAGGCTCCTGCTCCCTTCAGTAAGCTTACCTGCCAGGTGGACCCTGCCTAGGCCTGAGAGTGTCTCACAATCATCTTCTCGACAGGCCTACACTCCCAGGCCTGGCTGGGAAGGATCGCAAGGGGCGAGTGTGGGACACATGCTTCTTCATCTGCCCAACTAGATGGATCAAGCACTTGGTTGCAAAAAGGGGAGCTACTCCAAGACTTTCAGAAACGGAAAGGGGAAGCGGTGAGGAGGACCAGAGGCTTCTGGAATCATTCGAAGAGCTGAGCAGGGGAGTCAAGGAAGATTGGCAGTGGAAATGACTCCCAGAGCTCTCCTCACTGGTGTATGGCCTCAGAGGGACAATGGATGATGAGCAAGCTTCTTCTGATCAACGGCGCTCAGAGGCCTGGGATTCTCCCACGAGATAGCTGAGTCTTGACTCATTCCGAGAGTTCCTCAGGAGCCATTGCTAGACTCCCCTTTGTGTCTGTCCAGGGCCTGCTGTGGCCCCTGGGAAGCAATGGCCGTCTAGGTGTTACAAGCTCACCTTCACTCTTCCAAGTTCAGACGTGGAAGCCTCAGAAGAGATCCATCTGAGAATGAGGCCTTTGTGGGGATGATAGTTTAAGATGAAGCCATAGTGTATCTGGTATCTTTATTTTTCAAGGGAGATTTGGACAGACAGACAAGTGAGGACACAGGGGATAAGACGGCGGTAGCAAACTCAGGAGAGAGGGCTTGAGAAGGGCCAGCCCTGCTCACACTCAGACTTCTGGCTTTCAGAATCCTGACAATAGGAGTTACCCTTTGAGCCACCCACTCTGAGGTATTTGTGATAACAGCTGTGTTGGTTGGTTTTAACTCTCAACCTGACTCACCCGATAGCCTCATTGAGTAACTGTTTTTATCAGGTTGGTCTATGGGCATGTCTGTAGGGGGATTAGCTTGATTGTTAATTAATGTAGGAAGACACAGCGGCTTGTTGTGAGAAGCACTATTCAGAGTCTAGGCATGGGGAGTGAGCTCTTGGACAGCAGAAACTTAGCAAAGCAAACAGACAGCATGGGTACATTCCCTTCTCTCTGCTCTTGACTGTGATATGACGTGGCCAGTTGCCTGACTTCCACAAGATGACAGACTGTTACCTGGAATTGTAAGACAGGCAAACCCTTCTTCTTCTTCTTCCGAGTTGCTTGTGCTCAGGACATTTTATTAGAAACTAGAATACCAGATCAACCACCCTCTGCTCCTCCTCTCCAGCCTCTCTTCTTCTCTCCCACTCCCGGCCTTTCAGCTATCCACTGGGAGGTGAATTGTGTCACTTCTCACACGTATGTAGCCAAAACAAGTCCTAGAGACAAACACGACCTCTGAGGGAAGAACATAGGTACCCAAGCCCATGACCATGAACATCCAAGTAGCTGAGGATGGGCCCTTGGCCCCAGAGCAGACTCAGAATCTTCCATCAGCCACAAGGACTCTTTAGTAAAAGGACTTGGCATTTGCTGTATCAGTCCCTGGCAGGCAGCAGGACAATGTGGTTGGTTATGAGAAGAAAAGATCACAACTTCTGCTGGTGTTGTTAACTTCTTCCATGAAATGTAAATGTGTATGACATCAGTACAGCAATTCATTATACGATACACAAATTGGGAGGACACACAAAACCAAACAAGTACACAGCCAGCTTTTGTCTGCAGACGTGGTGCTGGATTGCGTCCACTGTGGTGCTTGGTTGTGGTAGGTGGGACAGGAGCCAAAGCC